AATGCTTCCAGCACCTTGTTGAATCTATGCCACGAAGAATTGAGGCAGTTCTGAAGGCAAAAGGGGGTCCAACCCGTTACTAGCGTGGTATACCTAATAAAGTGGCCGGTGAGTGTATACTAATGATGTTAAATCAATTTTGACATATCCAAGACTTCAGCCTCATCTGTGTAAAATTTATTTTATAGAAAAAGGTTTAGGTTTTGACCTATATATACAAACATCCATCATCTTTACCCACTTCTTCTTCAGGATCACTGGTGCCTAAATCCAGCAGACAAACATCATATAATCATAAAAAATATATGTGAAAATAATAAAACCCAAACATACTCTTTGTTGTATCAATGGCTTTATTTCTCAAAGCAAAGCTGATTTAAATTTCAACTGGCATGCTCCAGACTTTTGTAACAAGTGTTAGAAAAAAGTTACAGACAATTTTTCTTTTACTCCAACTAACCAACACCAGGTTGAGGAAACGGAGAACAAAAAACTGCAATATTTTAATGACTTTTCTTTAGAAACTGATTTCTCATGGTCTGCCTAAAAAAAAAAAAAAAATTGGAAATAAAAAAAACTCTGCCTGCACTTTATTACTTGGCAATATAAAATTAACATCCTGCAGCTCAAAACGTGTTACATGTGTAAGATAAACTACATAACCTGAGCAAGACTCCAAGGAAACGAGTAAAAGTGAACATGAAACTCACGAGTTAATGTTCGTTTGAGGGTCTTTAATAATCCACTCCATTTGTAAAAACATAAAATAAATAAAAAAGAAAAGGTTTAAAGTCAAAGTTTACAAAAAACAGCTAGTTCGTTTAAACAGGACTTTAAAGCACCATGATGCACAGAAACTRCAGTGATGGAAAAAAACAAAACAGGAAATAAGAAGTGTTACTAAAAATACAAACTTAAACGCATAATTAAGATGTTAAAGAGTCTCTAACGAGTCAGTTACTTTTGWAATCCAGAAACATCATCTCGATTACTACAGCAGACCGATAACAGTAGAAATGTGGATTAGACGAGCTCCGTGGTGATGTCAACCAAAGTCTTGTGTTACTGTCAGATTTCCCTTTTTTTTAGTCAAAGGACCGTCGAGGTGAGAATAATAAAGTCAGGAGGGGAAGTTTCTCGTGTAGCAGGCGTGCAGGCACAGGTGTGACGTTGTGCCGTCCTCCTCTGGGGGCACRCCGGTGCAGTCGCCACCCCGTTCCTTTGCAATGATTAACCCTCAACCTGCTGGTTTCCCCCCGTCCACCCTGCCTTACTGAGCCGCTCTCTGTGTGTCGGTGCTCCTGCTGCTGCGCTGCTCAGAGGCACAGGCGGCGCAGGCTTTAAATTCTGTCATCTTCAAAACAGAACCAGAACAATTAGGCACTTTTCTGATCAGAAAAAAATAAAAATAAGTGAAAAATGAAAGGATCCTACCAACGGGAGCTGCCGTGCCCTGTCTGCTGCTCTTGAGCTGCAGGTAGGTGATGTAGGAGTCGTAGGCATAAACGATCCCAGCGATCAAACCGAACACCTGAGAAAAAGCATTATTATTATTATTATATAAACATTTATTCACATTAAAACTACATGATAAGGAAAATCAGTTGTTATAATGTAATTCATGTGACTTAAACTAACTTTGTAACTCAGTCTGGTTTTTATTTCTCTGTGGGGAAAAAAAGTCAACATCTGGTTTGGTTTGTAGACGTGATGCTTTTAGTTTTTAAGATGAACCAAACACCACAGATATAAGATAGACGAGCGCGACGAAGAATGGAGGKAAAAATGGCGTACAAATTTACAATCTGTTATTTTTATGATGCTTTCAGAGTAACGGCTTAACTATGTGGCAACCTGGAGTTTCACAGGATTTAGTTAATTGTTTACACCTGTTTTTTTCTCACCTCCGACTTTAAATATTGATTCTGGTCACCCGTGTTAGTCGCAGTGACTTTGCCTGTGGATTTAAATGTGCTGTRGCCGAACCATAAAAGAAAAAGGAAACTTTGCTGGAGGCGACGCGGAGGGCTTTGACGCAACACGTCCTTTCCCACGGCAGAAAACTTTTGCGTACCCCGACGGCGCAACGTTTGTTGCTAAACAAACATAAGTCTCCCTTCGAAACTAAAATTAAACTGTATTAAAATGTAAATGTAAAACTAAAGAGAATCAATTATCTTTTTTTTCTAGTACCCATAAAACTTAATCACACCAGCTGCTCTAAAACACACTCAACTCAAAGAAAAAGTATGTTTGTTTCATATTGTTAATCTGATGAAATGACTTTGTAAAAGTAGTAATTGTATTTATTTTGTATGTTTTAGCTCCTGGGTGGAGTTTTTTTGTGTGAGGAGTTTTTTTGTATAGGTGTAGTTTTGTTTTTTATGCGAGTGTTTTTCTTTTTGAACCTCTGTTAAGTTTAATTTTAACACCCACCCATCCTTTGCTTGTGAAGTCAAGTTGGAACTTATTTAAAACTGAACTTTGAACTTGAGTGGTTTCAAGCACCACATATGGACACTGGAGGGGGGGGTAAAGGGAAATTTATTTTGTATTTATATTCTATTTTGTTTGTTTTATTCTTGTAAATATATAAAAAAAACTATTTCCTTTTGTCTGTTCTCTATTATTATTACTATTTAACGTTTCTGTCACTGAATATTTAGTTAAAGTAAGGGTGTGTATTTATATTTTTATGTAATTTACATGTCCTTGTGTATTTGGTTACATTAAAAACAACTCTAAACCATAAGTAAAATAACAGTAAAAACTCTAGCTGGTTAAAAAACATCCTACATGTCAGGAGGGAGACCTGGCTGGCACCCAACCTAATTATTCACAATAGCAATAAACTACAATAAAAAACCGGAACCGTCACAACTTAAAATATCTAAAATACTGCCAAACTAGTGACCCTTCCGCTTTTATCCAGTTTCCTCTCGAGCTGTTGCATCATGTCCTCCTCTCTCTCCACGTCGTCCTTTTTCATTTTCAAGCARTTATGAGGCGAAACATGAAACTTACCGCATGTTACTCCACAGGTTTTTTGCTGGCTCATCTTGTTTAACAGCAAGCTTTTAGCTGTTGGGGCATCGTACCGACACCCTCTTCAAGTGTTAGACGCCTCATTTGAGTGTAACAGCATCCTAAACAATAATTCATTTCATAATAACCGTACGATGGTTGACTGGTACAGCAAGCGAGMGCTCTATCACTCAAATGTACAAAGGTTTACACTTGATTTCAAAATAAAGCGCAAACGATTATTTTGGTTTTTAGCAGGCATCTGTTGTCTATTGACAGCTTGAAGCTTTTATTTTGAAGGTGAATCTTAGCCTTTCCTGGTGTTTAGCTGAACACTCCTAACTTATTTTATCAGAAAGTTAACCTTTAACAGTTTAAAAACAGTGACATTATCGATATAAGATTCTTTTGATATTGAACGTCTATCATTATATCTATTGGTTTTGAATCAGTGCAGGACTTGCTTCATTGTGGATCATGACTCTTCAGCAGTATGCTTTAATTTTGGGATCGATATGCATTTTTGGCATCAAATGTTTGTCTCAGGACAGAGAACCTGTTTCATGAAAGATATAATTGYGGGTCAGTCCTGTGGTGTTTGTGTTGAATTGTTTGATGAATGAGACATTTCCTGGAAATTGTACCTGAGGGTGAACCAGGGTTTAAGATATTGACGATTTTCTTCCTGATATTTTGTCTCATTTCTTTTGTTTTTTCCATGAAGTCACACACAGAAGCAGTGAGGTCGGTCTTAAAATGCCTCCACAGGTGAGCCTCCAGCTCACTTAAATGTTGTCAACTAATCTATAAAAAGCTTCCAAAGACATTACATCATCTGGGCTTTATCAAATCCTAATCTTTGTGTATAAATATATATGTGAATATACATGAAATCAGACAGAAATTTCATGTTATTAAACATAAGCATCAAACTCAACTTGAAGCTGTTCATTTCATGTGGTACATTCAAGCTGCACCTTTTATTTTTGCCCACAAGATGGAGCCAAGAGGCCCGAGTTAAACCTTCGATTCATGAGCCCAAGTCAAACCAGCGTCACCTGGCCGTCACTAAAATCGAGTTTGTGAGATCCGAGGCAAAAGAATTGTAAACACATCTTTGAGTCAAGTTTAAGTCAGTTTAGATTTTCTGAGTACACACATTCACACACAAATAACTCCTTCACTCAAATTGCCTGTAAATGATCTCACTGCTCTTTTTCCCTCCACACCTCCTTCAGTACACGGACCCTGAGGGCATCCTGCTGAAAATTATGAAAACAATCCAAACTGTAGCAGAGTCAGGAACAGATCAGTTAAGGTGAAGTCCTGTTTCTAAACAAACACGAAACAAAATAAAACTGGTTGAAATCGGTTTMGATTTGCAACATTTTTGCATTAAAAACAAAACACATTATTAAAAAGAAGCCAAACTACAAGTGTTTCCACTACCAGCCCACACCCTTAACTACAGGAGTAAATTTAGAAGGTGTTTTTTCTAATGTAMMACCACAATAAGTATCAATGTTTGCTTGTAAATAACTGAAATATTGTKCTGAGGAATAAATCCTCATTACTTCTCCCTCCTGCTCTACGTTGTGCAGAGCAAAGCTTATAAAAACAACAACAGTAAATTTTTCACAGAGTCTTTTGTTTTCTTATTTATTGCAGGGATGAAAAGAAGATGTGAACGTTCACCTGCTCCTGAGTCCATCTTGCTAATTTAACAATGGGCTTCTGCTGTTTGAGCGCAGCAGATCATTTTCAGCAGCATGTGTATGGCAGGCAGTTTTAACATAAAACCACACTTAAACTCCAGAGGCCTATTTCATAAAAGTCAGATTTCTAAATTCAGAATATCAGCTGTAAGCCGAGCTTGAACTAGCTTTCAACTTTGTAAACAGTCGTAATCAGTTGCTCTAACACCAAGCTGCGCTCAGTTAAGAGCGGTTCATTCAAACCAGGTGTAAAGAATCTGGGAGTAATRCACGTTCACCAGGTTCTTCTTCCATGAAGCAGCTCTGTTGTCCTCCATCCATATTTTCAGTTACAGGCTGAGTCATTTCTACCTTCTCCTCTCTGTCAACGCTCTCTGGT